ATTCGCTTAATCACAATTTAAAAGCTTATAACTGAACCCATAAACGTAGTTAATAGCTGATTTAAATTCACATTCCCAATTCTCCAAACGGTCCTTTTTTCAGTCATCAGTGACTTCTCGTTTTCCGAGCCGGAGAGGATTATCAAGAATCCAGAGGTTGAAGACGAAGACGAAGACGATCATATTCAGTGAGTTTCTTCTCTCTCGTTCTCTTCACTAATTGCGTTTCTTCATTTAATATTCGCATTTGTTCTGAATTTTGTGTGATTTCGATTTTTGTGAGAACTCAAGCTTGGATTTTGTTTTCCATCGAAGTCTCTGGAAATTTCTGTTGAATCAATTGTAAAATCGATTTTCCCAGTCACTGAAGCTCTTAATCAGGTTCGTATTTCACAATCTCCATGATCTTACTTACACCAATGGTTCTAATTTCAACTCGGACAGTGAAATCGCTCAACATTTTCATGTGTCAGTACTTTCGTATTCACCATTGTGTTCCTGTTACTGTTCATTCTTTAGCCCTAGTTTACTGTTGCAAAGTTTTATTTTCTGGATTTGCTTAAAAGCGTCTCTATGATGGTTTAAGAAGTTGATTTTTGTGAAAATTGTATGTTTTGCAGGAAGATGGTTCAAAGGAACTCACCATCTAAACGAAAAAGAGTCTCTGGTGTAAGAGATTTTCCAAATGGATGTGGTACTCAAACGAAGAATCCGAGAACCGGGATTGTCAGTGAAGATGCTGGTACAGTTACAAGAAGTGAGTCAGGACAAAGTTTGATTGGCTCTGAAAATAGCTGTGTTGGTGGTGTTGTTGATCAAGATCACCATCAGAGGAGTACCGAATCGATAGATTCGGTTATGAAGAAGGCTGGTTTCAATTGTAATGTTGGAAGTGGAAGCATTGGTTCAGCTAAGAGGAACTTTACTTCAACTTGTGGAAGTAAAGTTAAACCTCTAACTCCAGAAGAATCACGCAGACTGATTGCGTCTCAAAACAGAAGAAGACAGCTCTCATTTTCATCCACTAACATTCGGAGAAACTCGTCGTTGAGTAATGCAGTTGCACCAAGGGCAAACACTCATAAACCAAGTCAACAAAGAGATGGAAGACGGTCTAATCAAGCTGGACTCATCCCGGTTACGCAACATAACCGGATTACCAAAGTTCTTACCCCACGTGAGAAAGTTCAAAAGGCGTTGCGTCTTTTCAAATCTGTGTTCAATGAGCTGGAACGAGACAAGGCAGCGCGGCGTGGAGAATCAAAGACTGCGACGAGTAGGATAGATTACCAAACTCGGAATGTTCTCGTGGAAGAGAGGAGGCAAGTGAATGCTGAAAAGAGGATAGGACCAGTCCCGGGAATCGAAATTGGGGATGTATTTCAGTACAAATCGGAACTCAACTTAGTCGGTCTTCATTTCGACATCATGGGTGGGATTGATTACATGAACAGAGGAGACTTAAAACTAGCGACGAGCATTGTTTCATCGGAAGGTAATGGCTACAGCGACGTATTCAATTCCGGCGTGTTGGTTTACACCGGGGAAGGGGGTAACGTGAGGAATGATCAGAGGCTTGTTAGGGGGAATTTGGCATTAGCTAATAGCATGAGGGAGAAAACTCCGGTGAGGGTGATACTTGGCAAAACGAGAGTGGATCAGAAAGGAAAGCATTATGTGTATGATGGTTTATATTTGGTTGAGAAATATTGGCAAGAGAGAGGACCTGGAGGTAATCTTGTGTTCAAGTTTAAGCTTGTTAGGGTTTCTGGTCAACCTTCTGTTGGCTTGAAACGTTAGTTTCATGTGAAATTTGGTTTCTTGGGAAAGTAGTATCAAGATGATATGGACTTGTAATAATCGTAGGAACTCTTAGTTGTGTTTACAAAAATATAAATGGCTGATTCATAACATTTTGGGATCGTGTGTAGTGCAAAAGTTCAATTTTTATTGATGCTCTGTTTCTCGAAAAGGACTGATTTCAAGTCCAGGTCCAAGTAACATTAGTGCCATGTTAAAATAAGAAATAAAAAAAAGATATTACATTTATTTTTTAATTTGAATTGCTTAGTTCCATGTAATTATGTTCATAAAATATTAAAGGAAATTGACCACACACAAAAAAAAAAAAGATTAAAGGAATTTTGTAAAATGCATAATTTTGTTCTGAAAACCCCCCCCCCATAAACTTTTGATTCAGTAAAAGGAAACTCTAAGAAGCCAAGCTTTCAACTTTTCCGCACAACTCTTACTTCTACTCTTCTTTTTCCACTTTCTCGCCAAAATTTCGAAGCAGAATTTCAATGATTTCCTTAAAAGGAATTTGAATCTCTTCACTTCCTTACTCCTTATTCTTCTTTCGTCGGTCTTCTTTCTAATTCGAATAAGGTTGCTTTATTTCAAATTTGGACTAACTCACAATACCCTTAGTTTACAGTTGTCACACGAAGATCAACCACATATTATAAACCATTTTTTTTTTTTTGTAAAAATAAATTAAACCATGTTGTTTTGCTAAGAGGGATTTGAAGACCATTACAAAGGATTTGAAACAGATTTCCTTCACAATGCGGTAAACAATACAAAGGATTATGGCATTTTCCAAAAGGGAAGAAGTAAAATCGAGTGAAAAGGGTCAAAAATGTACATCCAATGTAATTGAAGAAGAAGCAAATTTGATGGAAGAAACAAGTAGCTC